ATCTACATATAATGTGGCTATATTTACTTATTTTAAGTTACTGTGCAGTAGGTCAGTTATCTATATGTGTTGTGTGGCTATATTTATTTAAAATTACAGTGCAGAAGGACATTGATCTGTACCTGCTGCGGCTATATGTACTTAATTTAAATCACAGAACAAAAGTAATCTATACGTGCTGTGGCCATATTTAGGTGTTTTAAAGTACGCTGCCGAAGGACAGTAGCGTGTTTACTTATTTTCCCTGATACCTCCAGCGGGTCAGGAAACACTGACCGGCGGCAGTGGCACTCAGTCCACAGTCCACGCAGGAACACGGTCTCACGGGTGCTCGGTGTCGGCCGTGTGGCTGATTCTGGAAACTGGAGTTAGAATGAGACTCTCAGATCCAGACGGCTAACAGCCTAGGAGACGAGCACACCCAGGTATTGTATCCTGACAGCGACTGACTGTAACTAAAACTACCATCCAAGACACAGGCTTTACAACGCTAAAGAAGGAAGAGAATTACAAACGGCGGCATTCTCAACAGTACACAGTTACAGTTACATCTCGAGGTGTAAATGTTTAGTGGTTATGTTTATGTTAACTGTAGTCTTTACCTTCCGATGTTATCACAGACCTCCGCCTGCATCATTAAGAACCATCGAAATAAATTTTAAATACAACATAAATGTTAAAGTGGCATTATAAATGTCAAATACAACACTCAAACGCCTACATGTTATTCTGTTAAAAAAGAAGAATATTTCACGCAGAAACGATAAACTTACTACAGCGGTCCCCACAGAACTGTTACGAAACCCTGAATCCACAACCAAAACAGTCTCCTTATTTCGGACTTCCCTCCAACATCACAGGCAGCGGTAACACGTCATCAAAAGGAGCCGGTGATAACGTCATCAATACAGCATACAGCACTAGCTGGGATGGCATTGAGAAAAGAGTGAAAGGTGTCAAGTATTACTTTATTTGAAGGGATAATCTTATCAACCTCTAGATGTAAAATGATGGGTGGTATTTCTTAATTCATTCGGTTTAAAATGCAAAGTAGGATATACTCTTGCCACTTGTCATGGGTACCTCTCAGAAAATCCGTTTATTGAACACCTCGTTAGAGTAAAATGTTTCTGGGAATTGAGAATGCATTGGGGTTAGAGAAATACATGGGTAAGCGCTGGAGAACGTTTCGAAAGCCTCAAAGAGAAGCACAATTGTTGTAGAAAGGTCTCCTGTTTTCACTAGACGGTCTCAGAATCACAGCATTAAGAGACTGTTTCAACTGTCTAAATTCACAACTAAAACAGTTACTCAATGCAAGTGATCAGACTCCTCTATTAAACAGAACTAACAGGTCAACTAAGTACAGTACTGTACTCCGTGCTGTTCAAAGCAGGTTACACATTATATCATATATATCACATTATACTAGATAATAATAATAATTGCTTACACTTAAATAGCGCTTTTCTGGACACTCCACTCAAAGCGCTTTACAGGTAATGGGGATCCCCTCCACCATTTCCAATGTGCAGCCCCACCTGGATGATGCGACAGCAGCCATAGTTTGCCTAACTTCTGTTTGCCTAACTTTACTGGTTCCCTTCTCTCTAAATTCTCTCTTCTTAACTCTGCAATCATCAGTAAAATGGTTTACCACCACCTGCCTATTAGATCCCATTCCCACTTTCAGTCCTATTTCAGAGTCCTTTCTGCCCCATTGTCTTCAACATAATAAATTAATCCTTGAGCACTGGTGTTGTACTAGTGGTCCTCAAAACTGCTGCAATTACCCCTGTATCATAATTTTTGCCCCTTTTCCAACTTACCCTTTCTTTCAAAAATTCAAGAACATGCTGTTGCAATTCAATTAAAATTACCATCTCATTGCAAATAACCTTTTCACACCCCTCCAATCTAGTTTTCTGACAACTTCACAGTACAGAAACTGCCCTGATCAAAGTCACTAATGATCTTCTAATAGCTTCTGATTCTGGTTCTCTTTCTGTCCTTATTGTTCTTGATCTCAGTGCTGCTTTCGACACTGTAAACCATGATATCTTACTTACTCATCTTGAGACTGTCTGGAGATTCTGACACTGCTCTTAAATGGTTCAAATCTTACCTCACTGATCACTGTCACTTTGTTTGTCTTGGCAGATTTAGGTCTGAAATTGGACTCGATAAGTCTGGTGTTCCTCAGTGCTTGATACCGGGCCCTCTATTTTTCAGCATTTACATGTTTCCACTTGGTCTGCCTTTAAGATCACATGGCCTCAACTACGATTTCTATGCTGATGATACTGACTCAAATCTACATACATACCAAAGCTGACACCTGATGTAGTCTCTATTCTAATGGCTTCTTTGACAAAACATGGATGACTCAAAATTTCCTTAATCTAAACTGTGATAAGACCGAAGTCATGCTTATTGGCTCCCCCCCTTTAAACTCTGTAAAGCCAATGCTGCAACCCTATCTGTGGATGGTACTGTACTTGAGCTTCAGTCAAAATGTAAAAACCTGGGGGTGATATTTGATTCAGGCTTGACATTCCACCCACATGTGCAACATATTTCTGAGGAGAAAATGATGTTTTGACAATATCTCCTACATCCTATGTTACCACTAACTTTTGATGAAAAGCTGATAAATACACTTTTTTCTCCCGAATTGACTACTGTAACACTACTGCTCTACACACTGAGGTTTCTAGATCCACATTGAACAAACTCAAATATATCCATATTTCAGCAGCCAGAATCTTGACCAGGTCTGGCGCAAGTGATCACATGACTCCTATCCTAGAGTCCTTGCACTGGCTTCCTGTCAAGTTTCGTGTTGACTTCACAATCCTCATGATCACCTATAAAGCTCTACATGGCTTGGTACCTCAGTACCTACCTGAGCTATCATCCTACTCCCCATCTCACAACCTTTACTCTTCTAATTCTGGTCTCCTATCTGTCCCCCAAGCCCGTCTACACTCTGTGGGTGACAGGGCCTTCTCCTGTTATGCCCCAAAACTCTGGAACTCTATCCCTAAGGATCTTAGAGAGTCACCTTCTCGAAACTCCTTCAAATCTAGACTCAAATCTTTCTTCTTGAGAAGAACCTTTACTTAACTGGTTCTGTTATATACCCCCTTACTCCTACTGTATTCATCTACTATCTCGTCTCATTGTGTATTTTCATCATGCACATCTTGTGTATTTTTTTTTGTTGTCATTCTGTAAAGTGCTTTGAGAAGCCACATTTAAAGGTGCGATATGAAAAGTTTATTATATAACTCATCTTTCCTCAAACCAACTGCTTGGTCAGAGAAGACCTATAGGGTAGGAACTGTTCAGTCCTGTGAGGTGTTACTGCAGGGAAGAATGAAAGTACACAGGAGAGAAACAGACCAGTGGTTTAGTTGCTAGTAACTCACTGACCCTAGCTTTGGGTGCACCTTCCTGAAATATCCCATGGTATCCGATTCAACAATTTGGCTCAGCAGCTTGTTAAAGATAAAGTTTTGCCAATTTAGGGAGGAAGTTGCTCCTACTGCCAGTTTCACCCCCCTGGTTCCCTGCTAGAAGCCAGGACAGAAAAAAATGTATATGGCATCACAGTTTTTAACTCTTCTGATCAAGTTCACTCCAAAAGAGGTCAACAAGCTTGAATACCAAACAAATGCAACTTGCAGTTTATAAAAGCTGAGCTGGATTAGGCTGCTTTACCAACAGCAGGATGATCTGATGGCAAGAATGTGCCAGTGCCACTAGAGACAGAACGGCTTCTCCTCCGTTCACAGAGACACACAACACACCTCTTGACAAAAGCATTTTATTGTAAATTCTACATGTGATGTTATTACTTCTAGTCAATATCAACACAAGGAAAATAAATACATTTGTGGGAAAAAAAGAAAAGCATCAGTACCCCTCTCTCTCCGCTAGTGCAGGGGAACAGCCACCTGGGGACGATACTGTGACAAATCGCACTAGTGCACCAGGGGGTGGGGGGAGGGGGACAATTAAAATGAATACCGCCAACCGACCCCCCCACCAACCCCAGGATGGAGTGAGCTGCGCTGCTATCAGGGCTGACAAGTGCACACTGCAGGAGGCTACGTTAGTCAGATGGGAATGCACTACTGCAGGTATTTACACTGAGCTCCATGGCAGTGATGCAATCACACCCTCGTACTGGGCTCCCTCGCCGCGTCCGCAGTGCACCAGCTACGATCTCGACCACAGAACCACTGCAGCACTGGTCTTACTGGTCCTTCACGTAAATGAAGTCGCTACATATCTGACCACTCAGTGCTGCCCACAGCCTGGTCTCCATCGGACGCTATTCCAAGGCATTGAATTGGACAGATCCTTGAGACATATAGATATACTAAGTGTAATATGCTTTTATCTGAATACAGGCAACATTCTGTTGTGTGCTCATTAACATAGATAAAGAAACAGAAAGATGTTACACTAGTATTCTGATGGCAGAGGCCTTATGAGTAACCTACAGTGCTAGTGCATTAATCATAGCTTAATGAATACATAGCATATATGCTGAGTTTTATTTCTCTTACTTTACTAAAACTAATATTCGTGTAGGCTGAGATACATACAGAAGCTGTCTATATTAAAATGAACACCCCAACAGCACTAAAGTTTCTCCCCTTTTCCCATTGTACTTTTGTGCCATATTGTTGGTCACAGCCTGCTGTGAAGGACCCAAGGCCACGCTGATACAAACGTGCTTGAGTCTGCTCCCTTTCATGCTTAGTGTTCTGCACCAGGCACATTCTCCCTGTGCCAAAGCTGTTCATTTTAATAGTGAGGCTCTGTGTCCATGTGCACGAGTATATTATGAAATATCCAGTTTTATTTCAATCTGTACTAAAAAGCTCTGCACCTCTCTGATAGAGAAAGTTTTAAGTCTTAAACAGCACTTCAACCCTGCTTCCGTTTAAAACTAATATAAAGAATCGGCTCATAAATGCATTTGTGGAAAAAGAAACTATGGAAAATACTGTTTTTAATTTAGAAATTCTCATCTAACATTTAGAGGGAATGTTATATAGTTCGTTCAATACAAAAATTAATTACAAACTTTCTTCTGCCAGTATGATGCAGATTGTATTCAGATAAATTCCCATCTCTTGTTCACTGAAAAAATATCTCCTTTTTAAAATCCTCCAAGATGAAAATAGTGGCGCGTGCTTCTACAGACAGCCTGAGGTCCAGCCTGTCAACACCAGTGCGGTGTGAGACTCAGTTTTGGTTGTTCCCGAATGATAGACAGGAAAAGATTATTCCTTCATGTATTAGTGTTCTTCATTCCCGGCATGAGATTCCTTCTTTCCCCAAAAGAGAGGAGTCGAAGTTTAATCTGTGATGAAGTGCAGACCAGCATCGTCAAGCCAGGCTTCTCTGTCTGGGCTTGATCCTTGGATACAGCTGTCAAGCAGAAGAAAAACATTGGTCAGTGACTTTCCAATCACAGCATTACAATGCAACAGAGAAATACTGTGAACCTTTCCAGGAACAAGAAAAAAAAAAAATCGCTGAAAAATCTTTTTCCTGCGGTTTTCTATCTTTCCCTTAACAACTGAAGAGGTGTTCTAGGCATTTCTACACGCAGTTACTGGCAGCAGGTTCTACAGCTCCGTGCTCTGGGGAGGAAGAGCGCCCCCCAGAGGTTGAAGTGGGACTACATATCTAGTCACTGACTCACCCCCAGCAGGTTTCGGGGAATGTAGCCCTCCTTCTCTCCCAGGCGCGCCCACCACCACTCGATCTCATCCTCGTCCTCCCGGCGGATGATAGTCATGCAGTCGCCCTCCTTGAACTCCAGCTCGTCCTCGTTCTCCGACTCGTAATCCCACAGGCCGTACACCACCCCCCGGTTCATGATCCCCATCTTCTCCTGCACACCTGAGGGACACACACACACAGAGGTCATCAGGCCATGCAGAGCTCCTGCACACCTGAGGGACACACACACACACACACACACACACACACACAGCTGGTCAGCTGCAAAGGGACACCAAACAACTCAGAAGACTCCAGAGAGTGCCTGAGTGAGGGAAAGCAGTGACTGGTCAAACCTCTTACTTTAGACGACACTAAGAAATCAACAACAATAAAATTAAGAAAGAGTAAAATCGGCACATGTGTTGTCTTCTCCAGAGGAGCTGCCAGGGCTCAGACGCACCACGTAGCCAGGCTGCTGAGGCCGTGCTGGAGAGATCAGCTGTCTCGTCTCTTCAGAAAGAGAAGGAAGAGTGGAGAAGAACCGCCTCACTCACCATACAGGAACTGGGAGCACTGGCTGTAGCCTTCCTCCATCTCCTCGCACTTGTCTGCTGCCGTCTGCATGTCGCTGTAGGTCATGGCAAACACAGCCGCCCCCGACTCCACCAGGAACTTGCACACCTGCACGTTATTACAGGAGGCGGCGCAGTGCAGAGGCGTCCTGAGAGCAGGGGACAATGCTTCATCAGAGGGACGCCCACTTATTTCCTACCAGCCTGCCCAGCAGCTCTTAAAAGGTTAAACGGTTACTCCATGGTCCAAACCTGAGGCATGAATATGGACGAGCAGTTTCCGCACAGTGAGGATAAACCCTGTGCTTCTGCGAAGCACCGAGTTCCTCTCAGTCTGAAGGATTCATCAATATACAGAAGTATCTCTCGAGAGCTGCATTAAAGCTCACAAGGACAGAAGCCACACTGCTGGCATCTCAGTTCCAATGTCCTTAACTGGCGGATTCTGGATATCCAGAAAGAGCTCAAAAACCCTTCCCTGGCACGAATGATGCCGTTCACAGATAACAAGGTCCGTACCAGACCGGCTAAGTGATCTGAACCTCTTTTAACCGCGCTGAAGCAAAGTTCTTGGCTTCACGAGGGGAGATGCTCACCAGCCATCGCTGTCGGCTGCGTTGACGTTGACGCCGAACTGCACGAGGAACTTGACGATCTCCGTGTGTCCAGCACAGACGGCGTTGTGCAGCGCTGTGATGCCCTCGTCATTGGGCTGGCTGGGGTCCTCCACCTGCCAAGACAGGAGACAGAGGGGCCTGCTGTCAGTATGGGCCCTCCCACCATCCCTCTGTAATCTCAGCACCCACCAGGGACATTGAGGCTGTGAGGCAGAACTGCTCGTGAATCACTGAACCACGTTCCAGCAGCTTTTTAAATTAAGCTGTCGAACATTAAACTTACCATCAGTCAGTGGTAGCCCTGAAGTATTCCACTCTGCGCCTACACGATTCCGCAGCTAATCCAGGAGCTCTGGTTGTGTGAAAAAGGCCCCCGATGTGTTTGTGACCCCACAAGGCACAGAGGTCCTGCTCACACAGGGCTCCCCAGGAGCACGAGCCGAGCAAGAGGCCTCAGCCGCCTCAGCACCTGACATGGCTGGCCGGCGGGGAGGAGACGCACCTCGTAGATGATCCTCTGCACCAGGTCGAACTCGCCCTCCAGGGAGGAGTCCAGCAGCAGGGCCAGGGGGTTGAACTTCACCCTCATGCTGTGGGCAATGCGCTCCGAGTCTGTCTTGCGCAGGTTGGTCCTCTTGCCCTGCAGCACAGTTTAAAAACACAGTCACTGCGAGTTAGGAACACACCCGCCACCTCCAACCTGCTCCTCTTCTCAATCAGCTCTGGACGACGCCACTGTTCAGCAGCACAGTCAAGACAGAGTCAAGGCAGGGTGTCCAACAAATAACAAAAAATAAATAAATCGATCATTATCTGTGCCACACAGATCCATTCCTCTACCACTGACAGGGGTAGGATTAAGATGGAGGAAGTGCCATTTTGCCTGACCTGTCAAATTGCACAAGCAGGTCAAGCAGGATGAAAATAAGTGAATTTCTATGGTTTAACATGCCAGTGGGCTCCTTAACTGACAAAGGAGCCTGCAGAAACGAGCCGACAAAGCACTCTCTCAGAGCTCAGGCTCTGGGCTCCTTCTCAAGGCTCTTTGGCGGCAGAGGAAAAAGAAAAGACTACTGTAATTCTACTGCTGTCCTTCTACCGACAACTAAGGCACACCAGCTGCACCAGGCCCGACCCGTTCCAATAGACTATGCCCACACACAACATCAGGTTACACCTCTGAGATCCTGTCAGTATTCAGATACAATATAGACTAAACGTGCCTATAATCTTTTCTAATTATATGCACGTAAATATTAATAATTGCTTACACTTATATAGCGCTTTTCTGGACACTCCACTCAAAGCTCTTTACAGGTAATGGGGATCCCCTCCACCACCACCAGTGTGCAGCCCCCCCTGGATGATGTGACGGCAGCCATAGTGCGCCAGAACGCTCCCCACACATCAGCTCTCAGTGGGGAGGAGAGCAGAGTGATG